CTTAGCCAATCAGAATATATCATTCTTATCTACCTTAGCCAATCAGATTATAACATTTTTGTGTATCTTAAGCAATCAGAATGCTTTGATTGATATAACTGACCCAACAGCTTAAAATTCCATTTCGAACAGTTTCAGCCGGTAATGCTTTATTAATGATTACAAAGTACTGCATTTAAGGGGTTTTAAACGATTTCAGTTGATTCAGCTATTTACATTTTGTTGGGCTTCTTACGGCAGTTTTTAGTTGAAGTCAGTTTTAAAGTCTTGTTTTGTTTGTTTTCTGTTCCTCGCTATTGATATAAGTAATGGTTAATAAACAAGGAAAGTTTTAAAAAATAGTTGTTCTTTATCTTCTCTCATAATATATTAAAGTCGTTAAAAGAATTTCACAAACACCTAAAACCACTAATGTGATCTCAGTTAGTGCCAGAGACATCTGAATCAACAGTACTATTCACTACTGTTCAGTACTGTCTGCGTGATTCATAAAGTAATTTACTAGGGCCTCTGAGTCATTTCTATTTTCTCACTTGTGGCCCATACATATGCCCAACGAGTGGAAAAGTCTTCTCGCATCTAAGTCATGTTCCTAACATCATTTATCATCTTCGTAGTTCTTCAAAACACTGTACTAGGTGAGTTGACTATGCCATTCATGACTGCTTGAGAAACTGTGGGCATCAGTTATGATGACTGGCTTTCTTCTCTTCAAGATCAGGAACCCGTACTATTTTATTTTCTCTTTATTCCTCTTAGTGTTTTTCTAAATTTGTTTTTACAAGGGATTATTCAACTTTTACCAGCATATTTATTCCCATTTTCAGCTCTTGTTGATATCCTTTTCTACGTGTGTTTTCAGCAAGCAACTGTAGACAAGTAATCCCCATTGATGGATTGTTTCCTAATGGTTCGTTTACAAGTCCAGGCTGGCCAAACCCTTACCAACCCAACAAGAACTGTACCTGGACTATTTCTAGTCTTCCAGGGACGTACATCAAGCTTACTGTAACACACTTTGATCTGCAAGACGACATTCATTGTAGCGATAAGGTTTTAATCAGGCCTGGTAACGAGGCTGGAGTAAAACTTTGCGCACACAACAGGGATTTACCATTTGTTGCTTATTCATCTAACAATCACTTTGATGTGCATTTTATTGCTGATGGAACAACAGTCTCACAGTCAACAGGGTTTAAAGCAGAGTATGTAGTACTGCAAGGTAACATCAAATTGTTTGTCAATCCAATTACTAAGAGCCACTAGTTTGTACTAATACACTTGCTTACCCATAATGCTCTGCTATCCTATATACTCTGACGTAGAGCATCACTGTCGCCCTGTTGAACTTATCCACGGCGTGCCGGGCTAAATCGCAGGTCCAGGTCCAAATTGGAATTTATCTTGTTTTGCTCTTGCGACGGAGGAAGAAAGGACAACGACCAATTTAGCAAACTCTAGTCACATGTGAGCCCTTGATTCTCTTCCCATACTCCTCTCCTCTCCTAGATGACATCAAAGGACAGAATAGTTTCAGTTCTATTCGTAATGTTTTATAATGTTTTATATATTCAGCTAGTTGTCCACCAAGCAATCTGGATGGATTATCAGGAAGAATCGTCAGCCCGAACTTCCCTGATTATTATCCTTCCACTATGTGTTGTGAGTACAACATTACAGTACCCTTGGGGTATCAAGTTGAGCTGAACTTCAGTACTTTTGATCTCGAGGATAGCTACRACTGTACTAACGATTATGTAACTGTTGATGACTTGTCCAACCAACACAGCATCTGGGTGCTGTGTGGAGTGTTAAGAAGTGACGGTAACATGCTGTCTTACCGGTCCAGAGGTCGTAGTATGTTAGTAACTTTTGTTTCTGATGATGATGTTATCGCGAATGGATTTGAGGCCAAGTTCACAGCCATGCAAGAGACGCTTTCTTTTAGTATTACGTCCAGCTATGTCTCACCTACAAACATGGTTTTCACCCACACCACAACATCAATGTTCTCTTCAAAATCACACGAAATTACCAAGTCTACATTTGAACTTGTGGCTCCATCGAAAACCTCGACTTGTAAACCTGTCATGACTCCATCTCCAACAGTCGCACTGCGAGAAACAGGTGATGAAAATTCTTCCCATACCATTAAATCATCAGCATCTATTTATCCATCCATCCATCCTGACCTCTGAATCTATTCATCCACACATCAATACTCCCACTATAATTCAACTATACTGCATCCATCTATCTACCCACCCCCAACCTATTCATTCACCCACCCACAACCTATTCATCCACCTACCCCCAACCTATTCATCCACCCACCCCCAACCTATTCATTCACGCACCCCCAACCTATTCATTCACGCACCCCCAACCTATTCATTCACCCACCCCCAACCTATTCATTCACCCACCCCCAATCTTTTCATCCACCCACCCCCAACCTATTCATCCACCCACCCACAACCTATTCATCCACCCACCC